AAGGCAGGGACCTTGGTGCTCTGACCCTGGCTTACCAAAGCTAGCTCTTGGGACATGGAATGTAACCTCTCTGGCAGGGAAGGAGCCTGAGCTTGTACGTGAAGTTGAGAGGTACTGACTAGATATAGTTGGGCTCACCTGGACGCACAGCATGGGCTGTGTAACTGATCTCCTTGAGAAGGGCTGGATCTTATTCCACTCTGGAGTTGCCCATGGTGAGAGGCGTCGAGCTGGTGTGGGTCTACTTGTAACCCCCCAACTTGGTGCCTGTGTGTTGGAGTTTTCCCCGGTAGATGAGAGGGTGGCTTCCCTTCGCCTTCGGGTGGGGGGACGAGCTCTGACTGTTGTTTGTGCCTATGCGCCAAACTGCAGTTCAGAGTATCCGGCCTTCTTAGAGTCCTTGGCAGGGGTGCTGGAAGGTGCGCCAGCTGGGGACTCCTTTATTCTGCTGGGGGACTTCAATGCTCATGTGGGTAATGACAGTGTGACCTGGAGGGGCGTGATTGGGAGGAACGGCCTCTCTGATCTGAACCCGAGCGATGTTTTGTTGTTGGACTTTGTGCTAGTCATAGTTTGTCAATCACGAACACCATGTTTGAACATATGGGTGTCCATAAGTGCACTTGGCACCAGGACGCCCTAGGTCGTAGATCGATGATTGACTTCATAGTTGTGTCATCTGATTTGCGGCCACTTGTTTTGGACACTCCGGTGAAGAGAGGAGCTGAGCTGTCAACTGATCACCACCTGGTAATGAGTTGGATCAGATGGCGGGGGAAGATGCCGGACAGACCCGGTAGACCCAAACATGTAGTGAGGTTTTGCTGGGAACACCTGGCAGAAGAACCCGTCAGAGAGATCTTCAACTCACACCTCCGGGACAGCTTTAAACGCATCCCAGCTGAAGTGGGGGACATTGAGTCTGAGTGGGCCATGTTCCGCACCTCGCTTGTTGAGGTAGCTGCCTTGAGCTGTGGCCGCAAGGTTGTTGGTGCTTCTCATGGTGGCCATCCACAAACTCGGTGGTGGACACTCCGGGTTAGGGAGGCTGTCCAGCTGAAGAAGGAGTCCTATTGGGCCCTGTTGGCCAGTGGGACTCCGGAGGCAGCTGAGGAGTACCGGAGAGCCAAGAGGTCTGCAGCCTTGGCTGTTGCTGAGGCAAAAGCTCGGA